TAGTTTATATACTACCTAGGACTCTTAGGGAGATTCTGTCCATACTCTGACGCTTTATTTGCGGGCTAATCTTAAGCTTTTTCAAATGGGGAAACGTAAGAGACCCAATTGGGAATGCAATTGTTGTTTCAAAAGTGCAGATTCCCTTTCTGTCTCCATGGATCATGGAGCCCATCCCTCCCACCAACGTATATGCCAAGGGTTAGATGCTGAAGGGAAGAAACCTCTCGGTATTCTGCCTTATTGTATCGTATCCCATTGTACCTATCAGCCTCCCAATCTTCAAAATGCGAAAACTTGGGAACAGCATTATCGTGACAAGCATAAAGTGCCGGCAGCTGAACAGGACCTTACATTGCTGCGGCTAAAATATCAAAGGGAATTACTACCTGATATAAATCTAAATAGTTCCTTTGGGGGACAGTTCTCTGACCTCAAAGTGTAATGGGCCGCATATGCAAATAACCCTATCGTATCCGATATTCCTCATTATCTTCGCGAATATCGCAACCAATTCTGGTATGTATATGGGAGGCGTAATCACTGGGACGTATCTGAAAATTCCTAGGGATTTATTCCAGGTTGTTCCGGTCTTATTTCATTTACATGTCAGTGACATAACCCCCCAAGTCATTACATCTCCCATTTTACAATTGATGTCCGCCGATGACTCTCGGATAAACTTCATAGAATGTTAACTGAAAACATGTGGGATCGCCGCTTTGTTTGGGACGTATGGTTCTATTTATAGATCCTAGGTAATTTTCTCCTAATGAGACTTTATTAGTGTTAATGTGGAGAGCAGGTATATCATTTGGTCATTAGGGTGAACCAGGATGTAGCTTGCGGCTTTAAACCACTTGTTCTTAAGTGGGATCATGGTGACAGAATAAAAGAAGTTCAGTCTTTACGAAAGAAGGGCTATGTTGGCATTATTGTTGAGATCGTCTCTGCTGATGGGCGGGTTCTGTTGCCTGCACTTTGGGATTCGTTGGCAGAAGCGTGTTGTCAGGCAGAGCTACTCCTTATCGTAGATGAAGCGTTAACAGCCGTACGGTGTGGGGCTCCATTTGCGTTCCAGCGACCTGAGTATGCTACCTATGAACCATCATTATAAAGGAATAAGGGTTAGCGGCCTTGCGGTAAATCCTCGTGGTGTTACTATTATATTGATTAAAAACTTTAAACCCCTTTAATTACTGGCAAGCATGTCCCAATGCGATGCTGGAAAGCTCCCCAACAAGCTAAACATACCTTTCCTAGGCACCTAGCGCATTCTTCTACTTTCTCATCTAGATAATCAGAGCATACAATACATAACCCCAAATCTCCCGCTAAATACTTCCTTAACTTATATAAACCAAAGATCCGCCAAGCAGTGTGGTCCCTGAAGATCATGCTCTGTGCTCCAGGTCCTCATACTATAATACATCATTAACATGAAACAAAACATGGCTAATCTCCTTCATGACCTGCTTCTTGGATCCTTTCATGATAGGAAGCGTTGATGGGACCGTCCTTCGCCTTCATAACCCTGAGAGCATGCTTTCCTTCGACTTCGGTCCAGTAACTTACAGCACGTTTGTAAGGCAGCGATTGGGGTTATTGCTTTTTTAGGCAGGCCAAGTCTGTACCACTGAAGGCACGAGGATAAAATGTCGTTTCCTCTTGGCAATAGCAAGTTCTATTTTATAATCGCGGTCATTGTGAGTGGTGATTGGACCTGGGCAAGTAGGATTTGGAGGCTCGGGAGAAGGTTGTAGGAAGGTGCTTGCGGACATTGCGAGCGTCCTCATAGTGCCGCTCTTATAATAATCATGGACCAAACGAGTCGGATCGGCTATTACTGTAGAGCCGTGCATGCCAATATGGACGAAGTTGTAGAGGTTTAAAATGATGTTCTGGGTATCGAATTTGATTTCAAACTGCGATTCTCTATATTCATATGGTTCTTTAAGACAACGCATAAAGGAATTCCATGCTAGTTGAGTAAGTGTAGCTATGCCATCGTTTGTTATGATTAGGGTCAAGTATCGAGGGCTGTCGCCCAATCTGGCGTCAGGCACAATATCGCCAATAAGAGTGAAATATATCTCCAATTTTCGACATATTTTTAAGAAAGAAAGGTCATCAAACAGGTCGTTCCAAACTTGTTCATATTGTAAACAATCTTGTGCAATATATGAGGAAATGTAATCCATATTTATTAGTAAGGTTGTTTTTATTTTATAGAGGTTATTAATAAATCTTGATAGAAATTTATATAGGAATTGTTTAGGTTTAAATAAGATATAAGTTGGGTATAGAAATAGGTCCCTTTTTTGAAAGTGTTAAAATTAATAATGTTAAGGGCATGTTCATGGCCCCGATATACCAATCCATAATATAGGCCTAATTATTATATAATTAATACCGTGAAATAGTTAAAAGATATAACGTTAATTGGAATTTTTATATCAACTAATATTAATTTAATTATTTATAAATAATTTTTAAACTTAAACTTAAAAATAAACCATTTCTTTATTTCAGTTCTTAAAATAATAATAATTAATTGTACTTTAAAAATCGTAGGGATGGCAGGCACATACGAGAGGTCACTCTGTGGCTGTATTAAGGTCTGGTTCCAGAAGTTGGCTATGAATGTTTTACAATACAACCACCACCCGTAAATTGGATCTCGCCTTTCCCAAAAGACGACTACACTGAGGCCAATAATAAGGAACACGAGGTCCAAAAACCATTCCGAATAATTAGCTAAGTAATTTTATAACGAACCTTGCATTCATTCCAATGATTTATTTTAACATAAATATAGCTAACCATCCACATTAACCTGTCCAATCCTTCCAGGCTTAATTCATACCTAACTAGTTACAATTGCTATTCCAGTCTAAACATGGCTTTTCTTTCGCCGTACCGGCCGTCTGGATCCGCTACTGCAACTCGCCCTAATAGATCATGAACATGCCGAGTCAAGAAAAGGAAGTAGCGGATTTCTGTTGGCTCAGACGTGGATTTCGTATGAAAAGTATTACTTGCCTAAGGATAAACGTTGACTAGGTTTCCTGGACGGTGCTAAAAGATACGGTAGATGAGCTGTATATTTCTTATATTGACTGTTGTACTAGCTAGTAAATCTATGGGGGAAGTCTTGGTACATATATTTACACCACTGACGTTACCATGTACTGTACATGATACAGTATCTGAAGACAGTCCCTTGACCTTACTTCAACAGACGGAATGGTAACCAACTTGGCATCTTACACCCTTCGTTGGAGTCTACGTAATTGCGTACGTTGGGGCGAAGAGTCTTGTATATGCATCTATAAGCATATATGAAATGGATACCAAGGCGTTACTGCGTGCTCAAACAGGTTAGACAGCCACTACAGGTCCTTCTTAGCAAGAGGTCAACATTCTAAGGAACAACCCAAGCCAACATAAAAGCATCGTGAAGCTAACACTTCAATAGGAACAAGGACATGGTGGAGATGAATGTAACTGTGCGCCAACGACAACTGTCCAAAACGATATGACTTCCAGGGGGGTTTAAAAGACGAGCCAGCTTCCTCGTCTACACCCGAATCCGACCCTACCGGGAACCAGGAAGGCGCATCTTCTCCCATGAAGCGGCTCCAGTGTGCCGAGCCGGGGTGCGCCGACCTCACATAGGCATGGTCCGAGCATCTCGAATGGCATACATCCATGTATCCCTCCCTATTGCCGTTACCAGAACCGCTACTGACATGCGGTACAGTTCCCACAGTCACGATCCGAAAAGATACCCCTGTCCGTTCTGCGACAAGTCTTTCAACCGTTCCGATAACCGGCGTTAGCACTACCTCCGGCATATTATCAAAATGGGGTTAAGGCAATATATTGATTAGTTATAATCTTTTTATAATCTGCTTTCCTTATCTTCTTCCTGAAGCCCTCGGGGGGAAGATATTCCTTTTTAACTGTCTTCTCAATAGTATGTGATATTCTGTATAGCTTCCCTTCCTGTATACGAGGTTGCCAAGAGCGGTGTTGGCGCCTTACTGCCAGTTCGGCGCCTACAGTGCCTCCTGTGGGCCTATCACCTGATTCCCTTCGTCTAGATAACAGAGAGAAGTAACAGGTATGGAAGAGGACGAAGAAAGGGAAGTTGAAGGAGACTGTAGACCATGCCGATAATGCCTAACAAATAGACATACACTCCAATTTGGACTTGTAACCCTGCTACTTAATGCCTATCAACAAAGGACGAGATAATATGATGATATGGTTACACAAATGACTCGTGGTAAAAATCGCATATGATGAAGGAAAGGATACAGGACCAGCTTGTAAGCATGCAATACCTTATTTATTAAATTTATTATTTTTTATCCTAAAAACTATAGTGATAGATTAATAGTTAGAAAATAGAAAGAATAATTATATATAAAGGAATAATAAAGTCTTATAATTTTTTTTTTTTTTATAATATATATCTTGGAATAATATGATAGGCTTCTTCAAAATAGCCCTGGAAGCGTAATATCCTAGCGCGCATTAAAATAACCTGCTCATTACGTGATTTTTCTAGAGTAGAGGGGTCACCGTATGTAAAAG